ATATATATATATATATACACTGAGTATGTGACACTTGCTTGCAGTATTGCAGCTGTTACAAACATCCCAAGGAGAAACTGACAGGCCCAGACATGAACTCAAGAGATGACTGGAATGAGAACAGTATCAATGTGATGCCATTTTTGCTGATATTTTCCACTGATTTTATTACACGGGAGTATATTTTTTTTCTACAGCAGTATAAATTAATTTTGTAAGCATATCAAATGAACACAACGGCGAGGGAATTGATGATGTCCTCAGGCGACACTCTTGGAGGCGGTCCACAAAACAGTGAATTGCCGTGTTCATAGAGTTTTAACATATTACAACCAAGGGAATTGGAAAACGGGGCTCACTGCCACAAATCAGATAATTTATTTCTGTATTATTCCAGTATAATTACCGCGGCTGCTGAGACAGTGTCCGAGCAGTTGTTCCATTATTCACTGACTGTGGAGCCGCTCCAGGGTTTGTCTGTGGATGACATCACCCCCGTCTCCTTACTCTCCAACTCAACGAGAAATGTTCAAATTCACAAGTTAAATTAAGCTCTAAAATGTAGAAACACAGTGTTATTGTAGTGGATTTTCCCTTTAACCGAGCCGCAACCGTGTGATGAATCGTGGTTATCTCTCTGGGAAACTCTACAGAGATGGGTGTGATTGAAAAGCATGTGACCAACGTGGGGATGGTGGTATCACAAGACTGTTTTTGTTCACAATTACTCTATGTAAATGTTATGTAAACCAGCTGTGGTAGACTGTCACATGAGCAGCGTAACTGTAAACAATAGTTAGTTGATAGAAACCTCACACTTCCACCAGAGGTTCTCCCTGTAGAGCACACGGCCTGGTTAGATTTTGGGAAGATGTTGCTGCATTAAACTGCATATTAATAAGGTAAACTTAATTCTCCTGAAGCTGCTTTGCTTTAAGGATGTGGAGTTCGTTCAAGCACAGTGTGCTTTTTGTGTAGAGAGACGGTACATTGACATTAGGAAATCATATTTTCACATTGCTGTTTAAGTTTAAAAACACAAAATAATTAGATATGGATGTCAAAGTTTGAATAATTGCATTTTTTTTTTTAAGGGATTGTTTCCTCCTGTGAATGACAGGAAGCAGACTGTGACACAGTTCACCACTGATATATAAACAGTGAACTCAGAAACAATGAAACAATGATAAAACAGACACACCGACACAGCCACAGTGAGGCAGCGTGTTTATTACGACAGATTATTGACCTCATGGAAGTTGTTTTTCATCAGTAAAAAGTGAATGGCAGCAGGAGAAGAGCCCCGATATCTACAGCTGCACCGTCACATCAGCAAGAAACACGTAAGAGGAGGACCAACGCAGACAGTTGGCGTGAACGTATCCTTTAACCAGCTGTCCTACTTTTAACCTGGAGCCCTGTGTGTGTTCATTCCCGTCCACAGGGTGAACCCAGCCGCTGAGTTAGAGAACCCAGTGACCCGGTCGCTGCGCAGGCCTCGCAGTCTCAGCTGTAACCGATATCGCCAGCGTGCCTATTGGATGACCACCGCACTTTGGTGGCTGAGGACAGTTTAGTGTGTGTGGGTGGATATGGACTGGAACGCCAGGACGTGCAGCTCTGGCTGAAAGAGGGCCGTATCAATAAGTGCATTGTCTTGTTTGGTAAACATTAAGTATGAGGACATGGTCAGGGTGCCACTGATACAGAACAAGGACGGCTAGATGGCAAAAGGTTGTTGAGATTATTGTTTCTGAGTCGAGGTATACAAAGTTGTGTTTTTATCAATACGGTTGTGCTCACAGGTCATCGGCCGATGATTACTATACACAGTTTTGTGCTAAGGCTGCGTGCAGACAGCGAATAGCTTTGTGCTTTCCGTCCGGGTATCGTGAGACGATAGCGTGAGCTGTACAGTGGGCTTCCCCCTGAAACACTGTCAGCTGTGTAGCTGTGTCATTGTGCGCAGAGCAGGAGCACATCCAGTCTCTAAATGAGCACAAAACGAACTGTGATTGAGGTAGACAAGGGCGGAAACATCTCTTTAAATACTTAAATACTTTGCATATTTTATATCAGTTCTTAGTGTTTATGTAACTATTTAAAAGTGTGTTTCAGAAAGGGAGCGGTGTGAATGTTTTTACTAGGTTTCATACATTCTGATCTTTTCATATTGTATCTTTTTGTAAGGCCAAGAAAACACCATAGTGATAAAAACCTTCGGTAGAAACACGATGAATGAATGTTTGTATATTCTGTACACTTTAATAAGCCACTCTATAAGGGCTCAGTCATGCAGTACTGTGATATACTGTGAGACCGCCACAATACCGATAGTGTTTTTTGGTCACACTTTCACTTTCTGTCTGTGTTTTTCACATCACAGATGATGAACAAAGGGATTACAACGTGAGTCTTACACGTAAGCCGGTCAGTTCAGCAGGTGGATTTGATTGAGTGTATTAAAATAAAAAAAGGATTCAAAAGCAGATGCATCGGTTTGATCCTGACTCAGGGACAGCCCTAACACACACACACACACGTAGCTGCTAGTAATGGCAGTGTCCTGTTTATGAGAGGTGACCGCACACTAAGCTCCAGTCATTTTATTGTACCACAAACGCTTTGACAACGTTCGAGATGATGACGTATGAACCGTGAAGTCCATTTTGAAGACTTATCAAACACCAAGGCACTGCAAGAAGTTTTATCCTCCTTTCAGAAAGGATTTCATTCAACTTGTGAACGCTTCCATGGTATTTTTCCTCTCTGTCTCTGAGGTAAAAGTAAATGAGTGAACTTCTACACACTACAAGTCCTTACAGCTTACGTGTGCTCCTGCTCGTATGTGACCCGTGCAGCGCGATGCCACTGGAGCATAGAACAAAAGAATCCATGTACGGGAGGCTTTTATTACTTAAAACACTTTATCAGGACAGAAAAAGTAGTTGGCCTATTTCTGGGTTCATTCCCAGTTTAATTAGTCACAGCGTACAGAGTATGAACTCTTACCGTTTCTGTCTGTGTCTTTGGAGGCTTCTTAAAGTTGACATCCATTCACTCGACTGTCATTAACCTAAATATTGAAACGGCCAGCGGAGAGTCGGCCCAGATGTTGAGGCGGGCCGCAGCGAGGGTTGAATGTCAGCGCCATTGTTTTGGTGACGTTGTGAAGCGGTTTCATATTATTACCTCCTGTAAAAAAAAAAAAGGAGCCAGAGGGGCCGCAGCTAATTTGAATCCTTTTTATAACATCCCACATTTTAGCATAATAAAGCAATTAACAGATTACCTGCTCTGACTCATAACTACTGTGTTCTACATTTACATTATATCTATATATCTATTCTCACCCCGGCTACGCTGACTCAACCGTATGACTGAATCATAACCCTGTCATTTATGTCACCCTGTTCCTGCTCGTTTCCTAGGAGACAGTGGGAAGGTGACGACGGTTGTGGCCACACCAGGTCAGGGACCGGACCGCCCACAGGAAGTCTCTTACACCGACATCAAGGTGAGCGAGGAAGTAAAACCAAGAACGGACAGTGTCACCATTAGAGTCTCTGTCCTTTAATATATAGAAATACAACTTTACATACACTCCTCTGCTGCTGTAACTAAAACTATCACCTCACTGCATTCAGTGACTGCAGTATATCTGCCTAGCCTACTTTCTGTTAGCTGTCTTGCTTGTGTGTGATCTGAAAATGTGACATAATTGTGTCAGTTACAGGCTCATGAAATAAGACGAGATGAGATCGCTGTTACACTGAACCAGAGACTGGTCGCAGCTCCTTCTGGTGCTTTCCTTTTATCACTCCTAAGATTCCTTAATGTCTCTGTAATAATGTGTAAACATACATTTATCACGAGTTCTATCTCAAAGTCAATAGTCTAATGATACCTGCTTATCAGAAGTATTGTCACTTTTCCAATGTCTGCTGCTCCTGAAGGTTATAAAAGTGTCATAAATCTTTTACAAACGTTTCAATAACCTTGAGGATAAAACTGTTCCGTCATAAATCATATATCAGTGTGCATAATTGCCATTGTAGTTATAATTTTACAGTTGTACTCCTAAATAACTGGACCCAAATGCCACTAATTAATTTAATTATCAATCTGCCAATGCATTTTCTTTGTGCCCAAGGTGACGTCTTAAACGTTTGTTGTTTTGTTCAGTCTGAAACCCAAATATATTCCATTTATTATCATAGCAGGAGAAAAAAGAGCATGTGTAGTTTGGGCATTTAAAAAAATATTTATGTATTTATTATTGTGTAATACCGAGGTCCATACAAACAATATAAACATTGTCATTCTCATAAAACCTACTGTATAAGCCATATCTGTCCTGTGAAGTGTAGTTCAGGGTTCCCACACGTCCTGTAAAAGACAAATAATGAAATTCAATTCATGGAAACACCTTGAAATTGATTTATTACGATCAAATGTCCTGGAAACTTTGGATTTGTATTTTAGTCATTGCTGTCAGTGCTGTCAGTGCTGTCCTGCACTGTGAAGAAAAAGTTG